CTCCGTGGCCGCTTCGAGGAACTTCGGACATGAAATCACGCTCATCCTCGTCCTGCTCGTATCCTGCTGGATCGTGCAGGATCGGTTAGTGCTTGGGATGTCCGAACCACCGGAGTTAACCACGACGGAAGGTAAATTTTATTCAGTTTTCTTTTTGAACATGATTTAAAAAAATGAATTTTAGTTTTCAAATGTAGAAAAAGAGACTAAATGTTAAAAATTTTGTATGGAATATGATTTGTTCACAATTAAAAATATATTTTAGTCTTTTTTCTCTTCGTTTGAGACTTTTTTCTTTCGTGAACTGATTAAGAAGATGAATTTTAACTTCAAAAAAATCAGATTATATATTTTATAAGAAATCTTGTGATTGTTGAAGTTTTTGTTGAGAATATTTTCGTTTTTTTGAAATGCATAAAGTTTTTGGAGGATTATTAGAAACTTTATGATGAAATCATTATATATAGCTTTTTTTTTAATTTTGTTAAACTATTTTGAAATAAAATCGAAAAAAAACAAAAATTTAGAAAAAATATTTAGAATTATTTAATTATTAAATTATTTAATTATTTAATTATTTAATTAATTATAGATAAATTCATTATTTTATAAAAATTAATTATATATAGATTATAATTTAGTATGTTATACAAATCGTAAGAAAATATTTTACTATATTTTAATAAATATTTATATAATATTTATATTTATATTTTTTATTATTATATTAATATTTACATTATATTTTAATAAATATTTAACTATCTTTTAATTATGTAGTATATTCGACAATACGAAAATATCGAATTATTTACAAGAATCCAATTATTTAGCAATTTTTTATAATACAATAATTAATTAATTTTTCTCTAATTTTTAAGATAAAAATAATAAATAATCTCTAATTTTATATTTTTTCAGAAATATGAGAATTTTATGGATTTTATGAAAGAAAAATCGAATTTTTTTTTTTTTTCGAAAAATTAAAAATCATTTTTATAAAAGAAGAATTCTAATTCGAAACGTCCATTTTAATGATTTCTTACACAAATATATAAGTTTTTATCGATAACGTATTTAATAATTTTTTAATTCACATTTCAAATATAATTAATTATAATATTTTTTTAAATATAAATAAATCAATCGAAATCTTTGCTTTTTTTTTGTTTGTCCAAAATAAAGAAAAAAAATTTATCGAAAGTTGCTGTAACCGACAGGTTAAATTGATCGAATCGACTATATCACTGATTACTTTTCTTCCACATTTTATATATCGGTTTTTTACTACCGAATCGATATCCAAGAAAATATTTTTCCAGCATTGACAGGAAACTATATGTGAATCGATGTTAAAATCTCTCCGTGTTTTAAGCATTCTTGTCAGAGCAACGAAACACGTATGCACATCGGATATACAATAAGCTTTTCGCACGATCGAACACAGTTATTTATCTACAACTGACCTATATATGTATATTTTACGACTTTTCAAACTATATTGTCAACTCCTCGATAATCTTTAATACGTTTTTACGAAATCCGGATAACTATGCTCTTAAAACAGTACCAGTTCAAAAATGTATGTATCGAAAAAGTATAGCATTTGAATGACAAATATTTGAAAGAGCAATTTTCACAAGTTTCATTCAAAAATTATTATTTCATCAAGAATATATATATTCTTTATATGTGTATATATGTGTGTGCGTGTGTGTGTACATTCACATTTTTATTATGAATATTATGAAAGAAATGAAATCCAAATAGAAATTTATTTTACTTAATTTTAAATATTTTATGTCATTTTTTGTCATACTATATACGTATATTTCATATATATATGTATTTCTGTACATTTAAATTTCTCATATATATATTTACATTCGTCTATGACATAAATTTTAACAAAATACTTTCACAAAATAGAGAATGAGTAAAATTATAACTTTATTTTATTATTTAATTTATCCTAATTTATTATTAAAATATATTATTCGATATATTATTTTGTATTGTTCAGATTTCTTTGTATTATTTGGATTGTTTAAAGCATTTTACATTTATTTATTGTATAAAAAATAAATAAAATAATATTTAAATATCAAATTACAGATTACAGATAATAATAAGAGAATAATGAAAGATTTTAATGTAATTAATATATTAGATATTAATGTAATTAATATATAATATTTATAATAATTTTAAAATTTCTAATTTGAAATTTCAAATTTTTTATTCTTTACGTTTCAAATCATTGCGATATTATTTTTTCTTTTTATATATATTCTTATTAAATTCTTATCAAATATTTTACTGCAATCGAAATAACAGAATTATAATATAAATCGAATTTTTTTACTTATTTTTTTTTATTTTTCAAGTTTGGAATCGATATGTATGTTTTAATTCTCTCTTTTCATTTGCATTATTAAATGTTTTGATATTTAAAAAAATAATTATTTGAAATTATAATATAAATCGAATTTTTTCATTTATCTTTCTATTTTCTTTAAATTCTTGAAATTGATATATCTCCCTTCTTGATCGAATCTAATGTTAGGCTCGAAAGTTCAATCATCAGTTCAAGAGATTCAGTTTATTTCCTTTCTTCCACTTTGTGCTCTCATTTGCGTCCTAATTTCCTAGACGAATAAGCTCGAGTTTCCTCTTTCCAATCGTTAAATCCAAGCAAATTGCATCGGTAATATCATTCTCTGAATTTCTTTAAGATCCGTCAATCTCACGTTAATCTCTTAATTTTTAGCCTGAAATTTATTTTCCGATTGTCATTACCTCCCTGAATTTGTAACTTATTTGTATTTTTATTCTTTCGGAAAAACATTTCGGCATATCATTCATTTCATCGTAATTTATAGATTCTTTTTTATTTTATTTTTTTATTATCAAGAGTAATGAATCAGTTTAATTTATTTCTTTTGAAACAACAATTTGAAAAATTATATTGGATTATCTCATAATTAAAGATAAAAAGTAAGTAATCGTAGGTAAAAATAACTATTTTATAATTGGTTTTGTGTTTTTTTACAATGTATATTATATTGTAATCTACATTTTTTATATCTTTTTTTTATATTTGTTAAAATATTTATATTTATTATTCTTTGAATCCATATATATTTCGTTAAATTTTTTTCATTTTTCTTTTTTTGTCCATAAATATTGACTGAATGTGCAATATTTGTATGTTAATATCAATAACGAATATTTTGAATCATCATTTATTAAAAATATTTATAATATATTATGTTTTATTATATATGTTAATGTTATTATACAATATTATAAAATATTTCATTTTTATTTTTATATGTTGCATAGTTATGATATGATAATTATTGTCTTAAATAATCATGAATAATTAATTATGCAAATTATTTAAATATGCACATAAACAAAATTTGTTTATATCAAAAAAATTTCTGAGAACATTATAAGATTAACTGTATTATTTATATGAAATTTATAGATATCTATTTTTATTATATTTATACTATAAGCATCAAAAAAAGAAATAATTGTTTTACATTATTTAAATTTTTATTTAAATTAAACATTTTAGAATATTGGGATAAGATAAAAGAAATATCCACTTTTATTATTACAAAAAGAAAGAATATTCAATCATTTTATTTATCCTCAATTCTTAGATACTTTGTTTTTCGCTTATCTATTTATTATGCATAAAGCTTGTATTATGCATAAAGCAAAGTAAATTTATTACAAATAAAGAAACTAAAAGGAATTAAAATATAACTTATTTTTAATTAATATATTAATATAATAATAATATGAAAATTTTATAATTTTGCAATTCTATCAAAATAATACAATAATAAATTAAATTATGTTACATTAAAAAAATTTTCAGATATTTCGTGTTTTAATAGTTTCAAATAAGAAATGAAGTTCAAATAAAAATAAAGATTTCCATAATGTACGTTATTGCAAATGTGGTCACAAATGTGATAATGACAAAGTTATCATATTTTCCCGAAAACTGTTACAAATTTCACAATTTGTTCTCCCTAACTGTTCAATTTGATACGCTGATCCCGACACTAAGAAAGTTATATCGATTCTTAAATGAAGAGCACTTAATTATGTTTATTGCATCCAATTTCTTCATTCTTTTCTTTAGTCTTTTATATCTGTATGTAATATTGATGTTCATTTCAAAAGCGTGTCAATTCAATCCCGATTCATATTTAACTTTTCTCTCTTTCTTTTTTTTATAATAATTAATAATATATATATTTTTTATATTCAAACTGATTTCAAAATATTTATTATTTATTATTTATTTTTTAAAAATAAATAACAAGATTTTTTTATTAAGATATTTAATTTTTATAAAAATTTTACATTATCTTTTAGCTATATTTATATCAAGAATCTTTCAAGTCAAATTGCTTCGATTTTTATTTTATTTTATTGAAATTTAGTTTAAGTGATTTTAAATGATTTAAAAGACTTGCTTTACAAATTAAAAGTTCTTTAATAAAAATAATTTATAAGTTGATAATAATAATTTTAAAATAATAATATAAACATATACATATACACATAAATATCAATTTCACAATTTTTAAAAGATAAAATGAATATTTTATGTTAATTCTTAATACTTCAATCCAAATACTTGATACTCATTATAACTTCAGGTATTCATTATATGAGTATTTAAATAAGTAATCGAATTTTCTTTTGTGATATCTCAAATATAAAGCTTTTCTTATATTTCTTTTTTTTTTCTTCTCATTGAATTCAAATTGAATTCAATTGAATTAAAGAAACCAAATTGAAATAAAATTATTAATAGCGGAATTTCGATTAACTGTTTTTTATATTTGGTTTTAAATTAATTAAATATTCAAGTACTTATTTGAATTTATTCGACTATAGATATATTAGAATACTTACTTTCAATTCGTGTATCCGTAATCTTAAATATTAGTAAGAGTTCTAAACGTCTATTAATAAAATATTTTTTCTAGAAAAGATTGAGATATTGAATAGAATTAGTATTTTTATCCATGAAGAAACATATACATATTTGATTTTACAATTTTGAAAAAAATTGAAATTATGTATTCGTACATAGATA